TCTTTCTTTCTTTCTTTCTTTCTTCTTTTTTTTTTTTAAGAGAGATTTTTGCTATAGAGAACATGTGCTCACTGGAGAGACACAGAGAAAGAGAGACAGAAAGCGCGAAATCACCCCTCGGAGGGGATGGCCATGCTGCAGTCTTTTCTCCTCCATTCTCCTCTCAGAAATTTGGGCACACACGCATATGCACCCAGCATGAGTTTCAAGCCTCTGGTCTAGGACTCGAACCACGGTCAGCCATGTGGGAGTCTAGTGATGAAACCATTATGCCATTGCTAGTCCCAGATCTTGGGCTATATTTTTTTTTCAATAATTTCTAAGCCTGTTTCTTCATTAGCATGCTTATTATCCACCTTGCAGAATTATTGGGTCAGCTGGAAATACCAGGAATAATACCTCCAGAGTGACAGATTGAGCTCAACTTAATTATTTGTAGTGTTGAAGGGCCCTGGGAAATTTATTGAAATTGTTCTTTTATTCTCTCTTCTTCTCTCTCACACACAATGAGAAACTACATTTCCCAAATTTTGACCTAAAACTCTGATAATCCAGCAGATAGTGTAATGGTTGTCAGTGTCGATGGACTCCCACATAATTGGCTGCGGTTCGAGTCCTGAACTCAGTGACTTAAAATGCACACCGGGTGTGTGTGCATTCCCAAAATCCCAAGAGAAGAATGGAGGAGAAGGGATTATGGCTGGCCATCCCCCCTGGTGGTGGTGGTGGGGGGGTGATTTCTTGCTTTCTTTCTGTCTCTCTGGGAAGTGCATGTACCCTATAGCAAAACACCACCCAAAAAAAAAAAAAAAAAAAAAAAACTCTGATAACCCAGTATCAAGTCAAATATGGTTTCTAGTTCTTTGTGGGGCTGTAAATAATTGTGACACTTGGCAAGGGTAAGGACAGATCTGCAGCTTTTGGACATCTAGAATGGGTGCCAATTGGGCAGAAGTCAGAGGAAGCTGGATTCATTAGTTTAATTGTTTGTCTTGTTAAGCTTCATTTTCTAAAGTGATTTTCTTCTAAATGTGTATTTATTTGCTTATTGTTTGTTCCGGTAGTCACAGATGCTCGCTGAGAGGGGAGGATTTGAACAGACAGTGGCTCTCTCCCAATGCTCATCTCCAGCCAACCATCTACCACGCCAAAGGACTTCTCTACTACCTGAGCAGCATTGGCCGGAGACCCGTGGTGAGTCTTCCTTCTCCCTTCACACTCTTGGCTGCTTCCCTCTACCTCCCAGGAGGCAGAGTATTTTCTCTCAAGGTGGAAAAAAGCAATCAAAGACCAAAGACCTGTGCGTAACAAGCTCTAGTGGGGAATGCATGGGTTTCCTAGGGCTGTTGTAACTAACAACCACAAACTAGGATGCTTACAACAGAGCCTGCAAGTCAAAAATCCATGCGGCAGGGGGACCAGCAGGTGGTGTGGTGGTTAAGGCGCTGGACACTCCCACATGGCTGACCACAGTTTGAATACCAGACCTGGTGGCTTGCTTTCTCACTTTCCCTCTCTTTCTCTCTCTGTGTATCTCTCTCTGTCAAATTAAAATAAATGAATGGATAAATAAAATTAAATAAATAATTATTTAAAATAAAAAAAAATCCATGTGGTGGTAGGCCACGCTCACTCTGAAAGCTCTTTCCTTCTTCTTGCTTCTGGGGGTAGCCAGCAATTCTTTTTCTTAAAGAAGAATTATTTATTTTATGTTAGTCATTTATTATTATTATTTTTTAATTTGACCAGAGAGAGAGAGAGAGAGAGAGAGAGAGAGAGAGAAAGTGAGAAGGCAAGTTGGTTGCTAGTCCTGGGACTTGAACCATGATTGGCCATGTGGCAGTCCAGGGCCTTAACCGCCATGCCACTTGCTGGCCTGGTAGCCAGCAATTCCTGGAGTGCCTTGGCTTGTGGTAGCATAACTCCAGTCTCTGCCTCTGTTTTCTTGTGTCCATCTTACCTCTGCATGCCTATATCTAAATTTCCCTCTTTGTTTAAGGACATCAATCATTGGATAGGGCCCATCTTAATTCAGTATCGCATCATCTTCGCTTTATTACATATGTGAAGACTCTATTTTCAAAGAGGATCATATTCATAGGTTCCGGGGATAGAATCTCAACATATCTTTTTAGGGGGCTCAGTTCATCCCATAACAAGAACAAATCATATTCACTGTTGAAACCATGGCAAAAATAATTGTATTTCATGCCATTTCCTGGGTCTTTATTTTTCCAGTTTTTCAGTTATAAGACAAGACATTGTACATACCTACTAAGTAGTGTTTAAATTCTTAAGTACTCACATTCATGTTCCACTAATACTTATTAGTTACAAACATGATTATGGACCTGTTACAGGTAATTTTCTACGTAGACTTTTCTCCCAAGCCTCAAGTTCTATACAATTGATGAAAAACAGACTAGTTGAAACCAGAGGCCTTGACTCAAGAAAAAAGAAACAACAGTCAAAGATTCACATAAAAGTGCTCGTTCATTGTCCCTAAACTGTAAAAGTGTGAAGGTCCATATGTCCAAATGTGGACAGTTATTTAACCTCAGAAATTTCAGAGTGGAGAAGCTCACCTGTTGGCCAGTTCAAGCCGTCATCTCTACCATTAATCACCTTTTGAGGATCAACTATGGGACCAAAACAGTGGAACCTTCAATGACTATTTTTTGAAAAAATTGATGACGATGTAACATAGAGTCTTATTTATTTATTTAGATTTTCAGCATTAACCTTCTGGCACCACCCCAAGGTCAAGAGAGGCACACTGTTCTCCAGCAGAATTTTCTTCCTTCCTTCCTTCCTTCCTTCCCTTCTTTCCTTCCTTCCTGCTTTTTTTTTTTTTTTTTTTGAGGATTTTTTTCATATGCTTTTTTTTCTTTTTTTGAGAGATTTTTTGCTATAGGGTGGGTGTGCTGGCCAGAAAGACACAGAGAGACACAGAGAGACAGAGAGTGAGAAATCATCTCCCAGGGTATGGCCACACCGAAATCCCTTCTTCTCCATTCTCCTTTTGGGATTCTAGGCCCACATGCACATGTGCCTGATGTGAGGTTGAAGCTACTAAGTCTGGGACTTGAACCGTGGTCAGCCATGTGCGAGTCCAGTGACATAGCCATTATGCCATCTGCTGGTCCCCAGAATATTCTAAGGGAGTAAAGTTTATCTCCCAGGAGTCACTCAAGGGCAGTACCTTTCTTTAGTCTGCAGGGTTTGAATAACCCAAGTTTGCTGAGTCAACCCTTTATTACATCTTAACAGAAATACCTGAGACTGGCGAATTACAACGAAATAAGGTTTAGTGACTCATGGTTCTGGTGGGTGGAGAGTCTAAGAGCATCCCAAAATGGCAGGAGGCAGAACTTCAAGCGGAGCTATTATCTCTAAGTATATGGCTCTCTAGTCTGGTCTCACCGCCCTGGCTTGTATACCCAACATAACTCAGTCATAAAAGCTGCACTCTAATGATGTTATCATATCTAAAAGCCTCAAGCTGGGACACCATGAAACAATTAAATTTTCACTTAATACCTTTATAATGCAATCAATACAGTCAGGTCCCAATGTAAGACTTTCTGGGGGAATAGCCAATCACTGCCCACTAAGATCAGATTCCAAAACATGAGACTTTGGGGGACAAACCATGATCTTAATCATAACAGAGAGCAAAGCACATCCTTCCTCCTTAAAAAAATCCTAGTCTACACACCTTAGGGTATGTGCACTCACTGGTGAGAGAGACAGAGATAGAGATGCTGAGAGGGAAAGTGAGAAATCACCCCTGAGGGAATGGCCACACCTTAATCCCTTCTTCACTCTCTTCTCAGGATCTTGGGCATACATGCATATGTGACTGGCATGAGTTTTAAGGCACTAGGTCCAGGACTCGAACTGCAGTCGGCCATGTGGGAGTCCAGCAATGTACCACTACACCATTTACTGGCTCAAAATGTACATATTTTCTGGCCAATCTCCTAACCCCCTACTGCATCCTGATCAGCACTGTAATCTCTGCTGTCTACCCTCTGGAAGCTCTTGGTCTGCAGAGCAGAAACTTGGAAAAAAAAAATGGGTGTATATCTGAGTTGGAAACGCTAGCTCTAAGAGGAGAGAGAGACTTAGAAGAAAAGAACTCCCTACCTGATACACATTTACACAGACAACATACTCAACCCCCACTGAAACAGGATTCCTCTCTGCTCTGACAACCTCTAATTGAAGAGCAGAACATTTATTTTAAAGTGTGACAGGTGAAAGGCTTGTTTAAAAATATAAATAAACATTAATTAGCTATAAACATGACAGCCACAGAGTTGTTTCCTGCTGGGACCATCTGAGAGGTGGGTGAGAAACAGCTGAGTACTAAATGCTATTCACAGGGATACAAAGCTCTCCAATGGGCTCAACATCACCTTTTCCTTACCTACCGGGCTATATTTAACCAGTCCCCTGCTGAGAGCAGAAGATTGCTACTCCCTCAATACTCAGGCCCGTCCTGCACCAGGAAGATTGCCACCGTGTCAAGATTGACTCGGGCGACAGCGCTTGAAGATGAGCTGTGATTCTGGAGCTTATGAAAATGTTTTCTGAAACACTGGGAAATCACTCTATGGAGGCAAGGAGGTTCCAGCTGTTCCCGATGCCACTGGAGCACCGGTGGGCAGATTAATAAGAACTCCTGGGACCAGTGAAAATGTGGGGCAGTGAGAGAAAGTTTTACTGGCAGCACTGGAGATTGCTAAAGACCAGACAGATCATTCAATGAAAAGGCACTATGGTGGGACCAACAGGTGACTTAATGATTATGTCGCTGGACTACCACATAGTTAACCGTGGTTCAAGTCCCAGACCCAGTGGCTTAAAACTCATGCCAGGTACATGTGTATGTGTGCCCAAAATCCAAAGAGGAGCATGGAGGAGAAGGGACTGGGGAGTGGCCATCCCCCATGGGGATGATTTCTTGTTTTCTATCACTCTGTCTCTCTGTGAGCCCACACACCCTATAGGAAAAAAATATTTTTTTATTAAAAAAAAGAAAATAAGAAAAACAGAACTGCAGTAGCTCAGGTGAGGCAGTGCAGGCCCCAGGGTGCTGACATGGTATGTTGAAGACCATGTGACTGTGGGTGTGCTTTCTTGGTCTGCCTCAACATGCCAGGCATGGCTGCTGTCCTGTCTAGCTGAAGAATAGTGATCATGGTTGAAGACCTTGTTGAGGCACCCTTCCTACCCCCTCATAAAGGAAATAGGTAAATTTTTGGGGTAAAAAAAATGGAAGCATGGCGATATTCTCGTATTGTTGTATCCACCCGTTCATCCATCCTTGTACCCACCCACTGACGTGGGCACTCCTTCATTGTCCATTCATTTATTTACATCATGTGTCTGAATTCACTGTGCTAGGCACCAGTACAAAGTCAACTCCCCATGTCCCACCCCTTGAAGAATATCACCCTTTTCTTTGAGGAGCCCACAGTTTACTTGTGTGGAAAGTGAAGTGAGATCCACAAAGGAAAGAGTATGTCACAAAATAGTCAAGACGGTCAACAAGGCCCAAGTGAGATACCAGCAGAACACAGATGAGGGGTCAAGACATGTTCTCTCAGGGTTGTGGAAAGACCGCAGACTAGAGCTGCCATCTCAGGGAGACTTGAGGGGTAGGTAAGAGTTTCTTTTGCTTTTGATTTTAGTAGGACTGAAAAATATACATTTTTTTTTAAAAGAGAGATTTTTGCTATAGGGCAACTATGCTCACTGGAGAGACAGATACAGAAAGAGAGAAATCAACCCCCCAGAGGAGTATGGCAATGCTGCAATCCCTTCTCCTCCATTCTCTTCTCAGGATTTTGGGAACACACACACACACTCAGCATGAGTTTCAGCCTCCAGGTCTGGGACTTGAACCACCATCAGCCCTATGGGAGTCCAGCGACGTAACCATTACACCATCTACTGGTTCCCCCAAGTATAGTTTTCTTAATGGTTCTACAGGTCTGACTATGGTCTCTTCAATCTTCTGCTTTGTGAAACTGAAGATCCACCAAGTAGTCTAGGTTTGGGGTCACTGCATGTGGCAAAGGAAAGAAAGTGTTTTATTCAGTTGGTGTTTTGGACTCATCTGATATCACGCAGACCTTCTGTGACCGTGTTCCCATTTTCCTAAACCCAGACTTCAGGTCTCATTT